AGCTCGGGAAAGTTTAGGGAAGCCGCTCTGGCAGAAATGCGGACCTGAGTCGGGGACAGCCATTCCAAAGCTGGAAAGCGAGGAGAAATGTGGACCTGGCCTCCTGATCGCCCAGCTGCGCTTTGCGAGGAAGCTCGCGCAGAACCGTTGCCTGCATTCAGAACAGGCGTCATGCTTTCATAGTTGCTACGTTGTTACTTTTTTGAATACTACTGCGGCTCCAGGCATGAACCGCGCGCCTCAATACCTTCGGACGCAGATGCCGAAATCTTCTCGCACAGCCCTGACAAGGAGCATCTTTTCATGCGCAAGCGGGACACTCTCAAAACAAAACTCTTCTTGTCACGAGCCTGTAAGTTCCTTTCGCCATGTCTCCGGGCAGAACGGGCTTAATAATGCACAAATTCTACTCAAGTGTCTACGGGGACATAAATTGTGAGGCCTCTACACTTTCTACACCTCTTAGAGTGCACTGGATGCCACTGATTTGCTGCTCTTGGGCTCAATGCAGCTGGCCCCCTCTAGGCCAGAACAAGGAGCTCCGGAAATGTGTAAAAAACGGCTTGGTGGCACACACACACACACACTCTCACACACACACACACAGGACACCCTAGAGTTTTGCCGAAGGCAGCATACGGGATTCCAGTCGACCCCGCTCTCGGGAACAGGTCTCCGTCCTCAGAGCATGATCAAAGCACGTACACAGGCCGACGCTCGTAACAAATCGTACCTTCTGCGATGTGTGAGTTGACCACATATTCCATGCCCGTAAAAAATCGTACCTTCTGCGATATGAGCTGACCACCTATTCCACATAACCTCTGCCCGGTAGTTATGCGTGGTCGGAAGCACATGCACACGCGGATGCTCGTAACACTGTTATGTGCGAGCTCAAGAATACAGGTTTAAGGGGCGCAGGGAGTATTGTCGTTTTAATTCTTCGATGAGTTGATAACCTCCAACACAGATCCTTGGAATGGCAGGGATGTGTTTATTAGGGTTTTGGTCAGCCAAACAGCGGGTCTGGGCAAATTCAGTCTTTTCGCAGCAGGGAATTGTGCGTGAGTGCAAGGCGCAGATGCAGCGGGACACCTGTCGGCTAAGGGAGCTCCTCGGTTCAGTCTTCGCTCCCATTTCTTCGCCTTTTTTTCGGTGCAGTTTCCAACTCAAGGAAATCGACGAAGCGACGGGAGTCTGGAGCCGGTTATAAGGCCGCGATTCGATGTGCAAAGCGTTTCTTTGGCCTATGCAACTGAATGCAATTGCCCTCATCTTCTCTGTTCCTTCTCCTCGCCTTTTGTTGGGTGGTCCACCACGGTTTAGAAGTCAGCAAACAATGACGACATGTCGCGGCGGCCGGTTCGTGTGGCCGCAATACGGTCGCCAAAAAATTCTCACAGAAGCTATGGGCACACCCAAAAAGCAGAGTGTCAAGCATGCTTCCCGGTGTGATCCTTTTCGGCACCGCTCCAAAGCGTTTCTGGCTCGACTCGGTGGCCGCTGGGCGCAGTTTGAACCAGCCTGACTGCAATCCAAAACACTGCTTCCCGTCGTGGGTGGTGGAGGAGTTGTGGCAGCAGCAGCAGCAGCAGGAGCAATGATGAAGTACCGCAAGATTCACCACATTCCTAAGCTTTGAGGTTCTTCCCAAGGAAGTGCTTCGGGTGGCCAGCTCTGAAGTAGATCGCAATTCTTACACCAATGAGAAGCATTTCTGGTGATGTTTTACATATTAGATCGTATCATACATAGCATCGGAAATCATAACGCAGTTGTACTATTCAGAAGTCAGAGCTCTCTTGATCTACGGTCTTTCTGTCAAGGCTCCGGTTCAGCATCGCCTCTCTTGAAAATCTCGCTTTGTCAGGGCCCAGTCCCCAAAAAAACCTGAAATTCTAAACATTTCTTGGGAACAACATTATGTTCTTCCCCAAGATGGGTCGAAACTTTCCTGGAGATACCCTCTCCCTCTCCACAAGAGGCAAGGCCGAGGCCAAGGCCCAAGGCGAAAAGAGGACGGGTCTCCCAGCCTGGAGCTTTCGAGGGCTCCTGCGGAAAAACGCGGGGCGCACGGGGTTTAGGGTTTAGGGGTTTAGGGGTTTAGGGTTTAGGAAGGCCAGATTTTCTCATCAGCCGCAAAGCCAGCTCGGTGAAAAACCACATTCTGCAGAGTCTGCGGCACTGGGCAGCTGAGCTGGCTTTGCAGGATGATGGCCAAGGAAACCGGCGCGAATGCCGCAACTTCCCGACCAAGTACAAAATCTATTGAAACTCCCAATGGTGTTGCTGTACATCAACACGGTAACACTTCAAAGGCTATAATCATAGCGCAGGTCATGCAACAACAGTCAAGCAGTAAGAGCCTGGCAGTCATTTCACGATGCAGGTCTGAATTTGATCTGCGAAGCTCTCATTGAGACCCTTCGCTGCCTGGTACACCATTCGATGGAACTCTGTGCGGCCATCTCTGAAATACTTCTCCAGGCCAAGGGTCGGGATGTCATCCACAACGCAACAGCGAGCGAGCAGAACCGTGCGGTGTAGTGTTCGAAGATGCTTGGAGGGCGTGAGTGCACTGAACAGCCACGGGTCAACATGTTGGCAGAAGGCCCAGTGATCCAAGGAATGCACGACAGTCCCCAAGTAGTGGGCTTCGCAGCTGTAGTTTGCTGGGAAATCTGCCCTGCAGTGATTGAAAGCCTGCCTGAAAGGCACCCTCAGCTGGATCATGAACTTCAGGAGTCTGGAATGCTCCGCCAGCTTCGCCACCAGCCTATGCTCTGCGACTCCTGTGCGCAGAGACTCAAGGAGGACCGCTTCAACAGCGGCTCCTGCATCCTTGTGCACCATCTTGCTGACCATGCGGGGGAAGTTCGTGAAGCCATAATGGTTGTAGCAGGCTGTCACCACACTCATCTTCTGAAGGTATGGGCTGGTACTGTCCGCGGGGTCGATGCCCCAGTTGGCATAGGCATGCATCTTCCCGTGGTTCACGTTGCTCTCGCAGTGGGTCAGCAGAACGGCCGCATCCATCAAGGCCAAGGTCTCTCCATCAAGCTCCGCAGTCAGGAAGTCCTCCGTGTCGAGGTTCAACTTCACCACCATCCTCTTCCTCACTTCGAAGCGCACCTTCGAGTCGCAGTCGTCGCAGTCCACATACATCGGGAAGGGGCTGTAGGCAAAGGTGGCCACACGGCCCTCTGTGTCTTCAATGTGGGCCACGCCGGTGCACAGGTTTTCCAACACCAAGTGGTAGATCCTGGGCTGCAATGTATACCTGTACCTTCAAAATCCTCAAAGCAAAGCAGCTTTGTTTCAACCGCCGGCTCGGCTACGGAAAGTAAGCGAAACGTTTCAACAAAAAACCCCAGGAGCATGCGGCGCACCTTCTCTTCTGAGGCCTCTGGGAGCAGGCCACAGAAGCTCAGCAGCCGAGCGAGCTGCATCTGACACCATCCGCTTACCTCAGCAAAGGCAGAGGAGCAAAGCGTCGATCTAGAGAGGAAGGGTCCCATAGGCGTCGGAAGTTTGTCAAGTTGTGGCACGAACTTTGCATGTTGATGTATGCTATGACAGGCCGTTCGACGGCGGTCGGCTGTAGCCATACTACTGATAAATGCTTGCTATTTATCCCAAACACCACCAAAGCAAAGGCTGGCAGAGCAATGCAATGGGCGGCCCAGAGATACTGCCACAGTGTCAAGTGCACGTGGTTCATGTCCATCATAAAGGTTTGGGTGCCGCTGACGGGACAGGAACCTTTGGATCCCACGGCCTCTTGACCAAGTAGGACAGGACAGCCCGCAGGTTTCTGCATCGACGGGGACCGGACTGTGGGGGGTCGCCCGCTGCTTGGGCTGGAAGCCTCGGAGCGCGAGGGACGTGTGGAGAAGTGACGCCTCCAGGTTTGCACGGCCCAGGCGAACCAAGAAGCCCACATGCCCCCGACGAGCAGAAGACTCCAGAAAAGGAGCGTGTTCATCGTGCTACCGCTGACTCGAAGCTGCCGGCCAAATGACTGCATGGGTTCAGAACGAAGTCAGGATGGAAGTCCCTTAGGGAAAGCCGCTCGATGACCTGAACTTTAGGGAGGCCGTGCCCTCAAAAAGACGCCCACAGCCTCGGCCTCTTACGGTCCCCTACTTGCCGAAAGCAGCGGAATCTCAACAGGACCTCAGAGGACCGCCAGCGGGCCTCGAGCAGACGCCGAGCAGACACATTGGACTCTCTGCGACGAGCACCTGGATCTGAGCGGACTTGCAGTAAGGTTTCATGCCTGTTGCGAGGGTTTGGGGATTTGAGGCGGCGTGGGGTTTAGATAAATCTTACGTCCAATGCGTGGGGGATCGGGGACTTCATAAGTAGGCTGCAAGGCCCAACTTTCAGATCACTTTTCATGCCTGTTGCGGTTGTTTAGGGATTTACGGCGGCGTAGGGTTTGGGGTGCCTTCAGGTACTCCGCCACAACCCGAAAGTCCTAGATCACCACCTTGCTCTTGACCTTGTACACATAGAATTTTAGTGGATTGCCTTCTGGTACGTACGTCCTGGACACTCGACGATGGATTCCCCGGCCCTTCCAAGGATGAAGAAGTCCTCATCAACCTCTCCACTTCCAAACGAAGTCTCTGGTTCGCTTCCATCAGCCCTCACTGTCTTTTTTCAGGAGTGCAGATGCGGCGCAGCTTCGGGTTCGTACTCAAGAGATGAGTTGGGCCCAGGCAGCTTTGAGTCTCTTTACCGGAAGCCTCATCCCCGCCCCTCTTTATGCTTGAAGCCCCGGAATACCAAAGACTTGGAATGGCTTCGTCAGGGAGTGGCCTGCTCTTGCTGGGGACCCTGCACCCTACAACAAACAGCCCGAGCCCCAAGTCCCCAAGCCCAAAACCCCCAAACATCCCAAAACCCCAAGCTGCATTACCCTCCTCACGGCACCTATACCCCTGAAGCACCGATAAGCAGGAGGTGGCCTCCGCCGACGAGGATTGAGCCATGAGTTTGTCTCCGCCTTACAGAGAAGTTTAGGGTTTTGGGCTTTGGGTTTAAGGTTTGGATTTAGGGTTTAGGGTGTGGGGTTTCAGGTTCAGGGTGCAGGGGCTTGAGGGAATTTGCACCTTGCTGACACTTGAGAGGGAGCGTGGGAGAGAAGATAGGTACAGTTTCAAATGTCTTTGGAGAGCATATGGGCATTTTTCTGCGAATCCACTCTTTCGTGATAGCATTCTTGCAGGACTGGGTTTGCTACCAGAGTATGGCTGCGTACACCTACCACGCCAAACTTGGCAGGCTTCTCCTCTCTCCGTGCACCGAGGCAAGTTTAGTGGCTTCCGCTCCTTCCACCTGAGGAGCACTGCGCCATTGACGAAGTGACTCGAAACCTCGCTCTGACCGATAAAGCAGCAACTCGCACGATCTCCTTATCTCGGTGCACCTTGGGTGGGACACCTGAGATGTAGAACTCTAGTCCCTAGTCCACGCGAGGAACGGGGCCCAGGCCGCTCGAACAAGGCAAAGCTCGCCTGGCGCAAACGAGTCGAAGACTCAGCGACAACACACGCCAGCCAGCAAAACTAAAACTCACATGGCTTCGAAAACTGCACAGCTAGCCACGCCAGGCCCTGCGGCTGATCATTTTTCCAGAGTGAAGCTGTCTCGGCGTCCGGTGTTCAGGCTGGTGCTTCTTTACTGGCTTTCAGCAACTCGCTCTGAATGGCTTCCCTGTCGGTCTCTTCACAGTTCTCGCTTGCCAGAGTGCTGGCGTTGTCGCCATCGAACTCCCCGTCAGGCTTGGCCCCGAGGTCCAGCAGCCCCTTGACCAAACGCACGTTGCAGAGCTCAGCCACGAAGGGCAGCAAGGGGAGCATCTCGTGCTCCAGGTCCATGCCATGCGCGTGAAGAAGGGTCGCCGCCTTGAGGAAGACCTCATCCGTGAACTTCCCCCCGGAGAGGAGGTTTGCCAAGCTCTCTGCCAAGGGCCCTCCTGTGCCTGACAAAGCGTTTCGACACCGCTACCGTTCCGCCCTTCTTCGCAGAGAAAGCAGCTCTATATAGCTAACAAAGCACGGCTTTTGGCATCACGGCCTGCCAGCTGGTCCACCTTCTTGACGCCGTCCAACAGCCTGGGTTGCTGTAGAGATCAAAGGACTTTCAGTTTAAGTTACCATATTGGGGATATATTACTGTCTACAGCAATTAATTGTGGTTTGACCATGGTGTGGGAACTTAAAAGCCAAATTCCTTAACAGCAACCCAGCAGCAGCTCCAGGGCTGCCAAGTCCCCGCGCGACAGCGCTCTCCGCAGCGCGAGGCCTTCGACGCGGGCTGCGGTCAGACAGCAACCGAACCCCAAAACGGGCCTTCATCGATCTGACTAGACCGGGATCTTTCTCTCAAAAGGCCTCTGCAGTTCTGTGCTGAAACGGGGTCCATCTGCTGGAGGATGGCGAGGACATCCCAGAGAGCGGTGTAGTTTTGCGCAGCACCCGTCACACCCTTGACGGGCTGCTGACAGGCCTCCGTGCTCATTGCATGCTGCGTGACCACTTTGAGAAGCGCGGAGTCCTCGCAACTCCGCTTGTCGTCCACAGTGGCGCCGTGATCCCTCAACAGCTCCATAGCCCGGACGTGGCAGTGGCTGCCTGCGGCCACCAGCGCTGAACTCCTGGCCGTGACATCCTGGCTGTGATTTAGAAGCTGGCGGAGTGTATTGATGTTGCCCTGAGCCTCAGCAAAGAAAAAGGAGGCCAGAATTCATCGAAGACCGTGGTCTAGCCCCTATCTCGAATCTGCACGTCAGGATGAAAAAAAAGCAAGCTTTGCTGCAACCGAGCTGGGACACGGCAGCCGCCTGAAAAGGAGTCACGCCCTGAAAGCTCGTGTTTGGGCTGGCGCCCCGTATTAGCAGCTCCTGCAAGGCAAACAAATCTAAAGAGGTCCCCACTAACATAAGGCCACATCCGCAACATTCTGATCTCCCGTCTCGTCCTCCACGCCTGCAGAAAAATTCAACTGTATCGCCTTAGTCAGCCACCCTTCATCCAAGCACGCGTTCTTCTTCGCGCCTCAAAGGGGCTGACAGTAAATAGGCCCAAGCCTCACTTGTGACCCAAAATTTTCCCTCATCTGTGACTCCAAAACCTTCCTCATCTGCGATCCAAAAACCCCTCGCCTGTGACCCCAAAAGCTTGCGTTTAGAGGGTTTAGGGTTTAGGGTTTCGGTGTAGGGTTCGCCAGCGCAGCTCGGCGCCCAAGCCAACTCCCTCTTTAATGGGGCTGCCCTAAGCTCTAGTTTCGTAAAATCGATGCGGGACGCAGCGTACAATGTGGTGTTTGAAGGTCTCTTCGGTTCGGTAAGTTTGTAGATAAGCAGACGCAACAACGTCGGTTCTGCTTGTTATCTGTGAAGCATGTAGGATTTTTCGGGCTTGAGCTGAAAAAGCATGCCTGTGTGTAAAATCGATTCGATTTACAAAATCGGTTCGTTTTAAGGGGGCTGCCCGAAGCCTTAGATTCGTAAAACCGATTCGAAAGTCCGAATCCCTCCCCACGAAAGCTCGACCCCCTCACGAAAACGCAAATCTCCACGAAACCCCAAATCCTCCCCACGAAAGCCCGAAGCCCCACGAAAGCCCGAATCTCTTCCCACGAACACCCGAAATTTCCCACGAAAGCCCAAATCCTCCCCACGAGCCCCAAACCCCCCACGAAAGCCCAAATCTCTCGCGAAAGCCTACAATCCTCCCCATTCCCCCAAAAGCCTCCCCACCAAAAC